CATAATTATACACCTTGGAAATTATACACCATAATTATATTAGCCTTGTTATCGATATTAAGTGAGTAAAGGTTAATGACCTATGACTCACGTAGTATCCAAAGGGCAAGCTGGGACAAGACTACATAATATAATAAGTATAAGCCATAATGTGGTCGTGTATTTTGTTCATCTAAACGCCTTTGCCTGAAGTCTTCACATACCCCAAGAGGGATAAATAGACCATATTCTTGTAAAACCTCGACAAAAAAAAAAATACATAAATAATTGTAAATTGTTCATCTGTTTATCTGAAAATTGCCCATTAAACATAATATGTTAATCATAAATACTGAATAAAATCCACAGGACATACACATAATAACACATATAATTGCCCACAGTCGCATAAAAATAAATTTTTTTTGTGAATAACACAAAGCAACATTAAAGAGATTCCTCAAAAATATACAGTTTTTAGTGTAAAAATAATTATTGTTATACATACATGTTATACAGTATTATACATATAGTGTATAATATATTATATATTATTATAAATGAATTTATATAGTAATACAATATATAGTAATCATCTCCGTTTTTGGCGTATCTCTTTTATATCAGAAAAAGCAAATAATATATATTATACTACCTATGTAAAATATTGTATATAATAAATAATAAAGATTATGCGAAAGCTCAGCATGTTGTGTTGTATACATTGGCAATGTATTAAAAAAAATAGTTATTTCATAGCGAGATGGTAGTTTTATTACATTTAAAGCACCTTAAGTGTAATGCACGAGCAGTATCAAAATAAACGGTTATTATTTTATATTAATATTCGTTTATTTATTGAACAACTGATGTCTTTTTCATTTTATTCACTTCTTGAATTCCGTTACCGTTTACAGATAATATTAAATGTAAAGAAGCATCCTCAATACTACGAGAATGATAAAAAAAATGTCAACTCCGGTAGTTATAATAATTGAAACTTTTTAAACGTTCTTGACAAAAATGTGCAATATAAGAAATATTAAAATTCTTCGAACAAAAGAGAACTCTATAGTCAAATTAAAAGAATGTCATGTTGTAAAAATTCGAATAAAATATTTATTAATGTATACTTATTATACTTGATGTAGTGTTTGTATACTAAATTCGTGTACTTATGCGCATTTTACGAAAATACATCTCCAAAGATATAAGTTTTATACATAATTTAAATAATAATTTTTCTGAAAAACAAATTATTTGAACCCAATAACTTAACTGGAAATTGATGTACTTTTTTTGGCTTCTTACGTTACAGAACTTTTTGTTATTTTCAAATTAAGTAAAAACGTTCATTTTCTACACACATACATTTTTCTTCCTATTTATATTGATGACATTTTTTATTTTTCATTTTGTTACATCAATTTCTTACAAATGATACTTTTCCCTATATTTTGTTTGGTTTCCGCAATAACAATACATTTAAAACAATTGTTTTTTTTTTTAATATATAGCTATAATGTTTGATCATTTAAATGAATAAATATTAAATTTTATTAATATTACCGGAAGGTTAGGTAAGGTACACGCGGAAAACTTTTAGGAAATTTTGAACTTTTAATTAAAACGTAAAATTTATTCAAACAACTTAGTTCAATATTTAATAAATAAATAAATAAAACGTAAATTAATTTAAATAACTTAGTTTAATTAACATATTATACATTGAATAGCTTAAGCCGAATTGATAATTTTCGTGGTGCATTGCAGATCGACTAATACGAGTATAATTAAACATTTAATCGGATAAATCACAATCTATCATCTTCTCACTAAGTTGTTGTACGTTTTTTCCTAATAATATTACGATATCAAGACGGAAGCAACTGTAATGTAGAACAAAAGTCATTAATGATAATATTATATAAGTATTAACTAATTAACTTTAAGTTGATGTCTCGATTACGTTATAAGATGGTCGACAGGCTTAATTTGTATGTCCTAGTAGAATTTCCCAAAGAGAATATTGTTTTGTAACACATGATGTATCGGTTTGTAATAATAATAATAATTTTAACTATTTTTTTTTTAAATAACACTCATTCCAGTTGCTTGCTGCTAAACATGTTAATTCCTCCGTTGGGATAGTAAATGTACTCGAATGGGAGTGCGCATTTGTATGGTGACAATTATACTAATAAATGATTGTATTCAAACAAGGTATTATATTTCTCTAATATATCGTTAGATGATGGTTTAAAGAAAAAAAACAATACACAAATATTGCAGTTTCTCATATCTAAGCTTTTGTAAGCTTATCACTTATACAACAAAGTATACAACAAAATATACAACAAAATATTTTAATATGGCTTTAACAAAAATCGAGGTTTCGATTGTCAATTTGTTGAAATTTAACAATAAAAAACTTCAGTTTTTAATAACAATATAACGTTTAATGGTCACAATTTAGAGGTATTGTACTATTTTTACTGTCCGTGTGTGTTCAATTTGTACACTACTTTTTATTTGTTAGGTAATGTCGGTGTCGTTTTTCTTTTCTTTTTTTTTTTTTTTACTGCCGTTTTTATTTTCTTCCTTGAACGCGTCACACTCCTGCTATTTAACAAATAATCAACTCAACTGCCCATTGCCCTATCAGTTCTTTAAAAACTTTTACCCTCGAGTCATTTACTACCTGTGTAATTTGACGCTCAAAACGTGTCCATTAAACTATTTCTATGGGACTGTAAACAGGTGTCTTGTAATTTGATTTCCTTTTAAATGAAAAATAAAGCAAGAGTCCATTATAAACGTTCGCAGTAAGAAATAAAAGTATATTTCAACAAGTTTTGTTTTCAAACATTTCCTCCGACCGAAACTGTTCACTGTAGTAACGCATTATTTGATTTATCGTGCAAATAGTTACGTTTGAGCTACCATAACCGTTGTACATAACAATATATATATATTATTATGAAGTAAATCGACATGATAAAAACCGTTGTTTAAACGATTATTTTAGTTTTAAAAGTTTAGAGTGAAGGATACAACCTTGTAAAATTGTATTAACAATATTATATTACATAATATTTAATAAACTATACAGTATTGAATTGTAATTATTATATTAGTCTATAACAATAATAATATAATAGAACAAACTGCTTAGCATCAGTTGGTTTATTTAAGCGGGATAAACAAAAAGTACTTTCAAATGCTGAACTAGTCGGTTTCGAGTGTTTATACATACTGATTAGAGTCTTAAATATTATTTTCAAGTAACTTATTTTAGCATAATACAGGTAAATAATAAAACGTACTTACATAATTTGTCATGACGTAATAGAAATAATATCAAATGAAAATTTTGAAAATGACTACTAAATAAACACTTAAGGAATGTTAATTTAAAGAAAAAATAAATAGATAAGCAAGAGTACGGCTAGTACAAACAAAACAAAAAGAGAAGTACAACGAGTTCATTGTGAGTGTTTAGGAGACTATATTGGTTAATCAAATAGAAGGCGAATAATACCAGGAATCTTATGAACTTTTCGAGACAATGGACCATAATGTGAAAGTTTAAGAGAATTTAATATAGAAAAGGTCGAAAAGTAAAAAAGGATTAAAAAATACATTCGGAGTTATGCTAGGCATCGTTAAGCAGGTCGACGATGAAATCGATATTTTATGAGAGACAATTATTAATTAATTTCAAATTAAAAAGAAAGAAACTGAACTATAACTTAAAATACATACTTTTAAAATAATTCTGACAGTTCTAAAATAGATCACGGGTCGTTTCCAAAAATTAAACAATCCCGACGATGCGTGTAAAAATGTAAGGTTACTGGTTAGTACGTTTAAAGAAGTGAAAACAAGTGTTAAGAGTTTGTGTGAGTGAATGCAGCGATTTCCGGTGAAACTGTAAGTTAATCAAGAGTCAGAATTTAATCCGTACTTGTTTCCCTAGTAATAAATGAGCATATGAGAAAAAGCCTCATAATGTATTTAACGTTCACAGAACAAAGTTCAAATGGAAGAGAGTAGGCGTTAAGGGTGAAACCACAAGCATTGAAAATAAACAGAGCGAGACTAAATCAATAGTAATAAAATTACTTTATTCAAGCATACTGCTAGATCAGAAGTATCCGGAACTGGTGGTCAACTGTTTTTATGTCTCTTATGAGTTGTCTGTCTTATCACTTTTATGTTGATTAAATTTTGAAAAATATATAAATTAAAAGTTTTTAGTATTACAATTAATTTATGTTTTACTACATCATAAAAATAACTCAAATTAAAAATGTTAAGAGCAATTTTATTGTTTACAAAATAGGAGAATTTAATTGCGATTTAATGAGTATGAATGTATTTAATTTTTAAGATACTTTTGAAGAAAACTTATTTGAATTTAAAACCAAGCGCTCTGTTAAAATTTATCAAAATAAATAAGTATTCAATATTTTATTTTAGGCAAAAATAAGTGAGGTAGCTAAAAAACTTTTTAGATTAAAAATACTCACTGGTTATTAATGATTTAGCTGTGCTCCAGAAAATCAGACAGCTATATTTGGAAAGTGGTTAATAGCTATTCTGTTTAAAAGGAAGAAAATAAGATAATATTATGGTACTTTTCAAAAATTCTCACAAAGAATAAGACATAATTGGGAAATTCGTTATAAAAGTTAACAGGAAGTTTTAGGCAAAAGTTTCAAGCTTTTTATAAAGAACAAAGTTTTAGATTTTACTCCATTTTTCAATACTAAAATATAAAAATAAAATAATATTTTTTATGTATTTGCTAAAATATAAAAATGTAATACAAGTCTCGTGCAAAAAATAGAAAAAAATAATTCTAAAATTAATATTAGTGATTGTAAAATTAGAAGTAAATTTATTAAAGACTGAAATGAACAGTATACTGTGGCCAAGACTTCGTCATGTTTTTTTTTTTTTAGGAGTTTAGTTTGATATTGACAAGTAAACACCCGTTTGTACAAATTATGTTACAGGTGGACAGCTTATTGCGCCAAAATTACTTACCAGAAAAGTCTGAAGGACCATTCTTTAATACTACTGTGGCTCTGCGGTATCCATTGAAAAAGGAATGGGTGGACATGAATAAAATGTCTGTTGACGTCAAATGCACAGTCAAAGTGGCTGACGCTGACGTTATGGTTGAAGAGAAAAAAGTCAAGTTACGTTCAGTAGCAGACCATACTTTATCACAAGAAAGACATATTTATAATTCTGGTAAGTACTAACATGATATTTAAATCGAATGTTTAAGTTTTAATAATCATGTTTATCATTCTCGAAAACTGTCAAACACAAAGCTTATTCGTAGTAATTACTTTGAACTTTTTTTTTTTTTGGTTACAATGTTGAAAATAATAACATAATGAGTTTTTAGATCCAAAAAAAAATTGAATGCCAAGATTAATTAATTCCAGCTTAAGTTAGAATACGGAAAAAAACGTATGTATTTAAGAGAAAAAGTTTAATATATGATATTTTTATGAATACATGATAGCCTAATTGCTAACTATTGTAATTAAAGTAAAAACAAAATATTTCATACAGATATAAAAAATGTAGTGTTTAGAATATTTATATTTTTTTAAATTTACTATTACTGTTGAATCTCTACCAAACACCAGAATTTGAGGTTATGGCTATTAAGCAATAGGTTTTTTTTTTAAACCAAACTAATACATTTGGTTTTTGTCGCAGTTTACCATTTTAAAAGCCATATGAGCCTTATGTGGCAGTTTTTTTTCATGTTAAATTACTACAACACAAAATGTGGCAGTTTTTTATTTATTTATTTATGGGCGTCTTCCGGTTAAGAATTATTATGTTAAAACGACTCAAATCGGAATGAGGCAGTGTTGATTTCCTATACTTAACTATAAAATAAATCTACACAAAAGTGAAAAAATACAACAACTTTTGTTTTCAGGTGCTGTAATTACAAACTACTGGATGATAGTATTCACAGCGTTCATTTCACATTGCTTCAAGGCATATAACTAACGTGATCATATTAATGAGAACATTTTACAGCCTAATGAAAACGAAATTTAATAAATAATTGATGGTGGTGTGCAATGAAAATGTAAAACTTTTAACTTGTTTTTTAAATATTATTATTATTGTTTCCACGCCTTTAAAGAGTAGGCACGCTGCATAATAATATCGACGGTCTGAACTTTTTTTTGTTTATAAAAATGGTTTCTCCTATGTAAAACAACTTACCCGTAAATCTGGTAAGCACCCGAGCGGTATCAATTAGAGGTTCGTCTGGATTTTAAACTTTTGGAAATTTTATTAATAAAAGTTCAGATCTCTGGTTATAAAAAAAAACACGTGCATGGCTTTTAAATGTCTCTAAGAATCATTACTCGTGTATTATTTATCTTTACATAAAAAGCCTATAATTATTAAATCCACATTTACCCATTATCTTTATGTAATTATAAAATGTTTTTATTTTATTTTAATTACATGCATATTATGATCGTAACGTTTAATCTATAGTTTTCTTATTACATTAAAAAATGTTTACACACCACAGTTTTATTTCAATAAAACAAATGTTTAAAAATATTTAATTTATTTACATCAATGAAGTGCTTAGGTAATATTATATTTGTTTTCATGCAGAATAGTAGTGTAAATAATAATTGATATTAATCCAAAATAATGTAATAAGTGTATATTATAGTAGTTACAAAATGTATTGTTATATTTTTATTGACCGTGTAAAATGTTTGTAAAGAATCTAAATTACCCTACTTTTTTTCTTTCCTATTGAACGTTTCGCTATTAACTAATTTATTATTATACATTTTATAATGACTTCTGATGTCCTTGTAAAGGAACATTTTTTTTGCTGTTATTCATATTATACATTTTTTTTTTTTTTTATAACTTTTTACGGACTCTCTTGATGATGAAACTATAGTATTGTTGATGGCTTCATTTTTTAATACAAACTTGAAAAATGTACATAATAATTTGTGGTGACATTTTAAACAAGTCTACTCCAAACGTATCAGAGTTAAATAAAATGATTTAACGTATCTCGTTCGAGTGTTAGGATGCATCAAGTGAACTTGTAAAGATATTGAAGGTACGAGACGTCCGAACTGATCCTTTTTGATATTCTGACGTGGCTAACAACTGATTAGGATCCACCGTATACACAACCTTGACCAAGGCGATATGGGATAGAAGTTAGATCCAGTGAGGAAACAATTCCAACGGATGTCGGCTTATGGATAAAACAGTAGGCCAATGGCCTTAACGCTGTCTTGGCAAAGGGGGGTTTAAACTTTTGGCTCCGCATCGTTAATATTTGGGCGTGGTTTTGAGCTTCATAAGGGCTTGACAGATTATCGTCATTTTTGTAGAAGGTCCGGTTAAGCGTACCCTAGTTTAGTGCCAAAATCAACGAACCATTTCTTTAGCACTTTTCGACGTTTAAAAATAATCCATATTACTCAATACATATACTAAGGAATGTGTGTTACCGTCTTAGGCTGCTGATTTTTGCGCCGTTTCTTCGTCCAAGCGCAGCAAGGTTCGAAAAATATTAATAGTAATTTAACCATAAATCAGACGATTAAAATTAATATCAGCTGTTAGTTTACTAACGTATACCCAGGTAGATAGATGGATTGATAAAATAAAATGTTTGCATTTGAAAAACCTATGCAGAAACGCATATTGTAGTCATCTCTTTAGCATGTCACGTACGATTTGGACGTTCCCGACTGGGGTCAGGCCAATAAAACCCTAAACCGTATTAAACGCCGCAAGGAAGACGAGGGTTTTATCCCGATAAGATGCCACCGAACCGAGTAAGTAGAGGAATATTTAGGTCAATAATAATTATTATACTAGCTGGTTTTTGTGTATCCGTGGCGGACACCGCATTTGGATAACAATTCTGCAGGGCATAATCCATAACTAACTCTTAATGTCCCGAATGTAAGTGAATTATAAACAAAAACCGAATTGGACTGGGTTGAAATGTGCAATGACCAAGTCAAATAGTGTCGATGATTAAATTTCATAACAAACAATTACATTTTTAATTTACGAGAACAAGTTTAATAAGTCACCAATACAAATATATTTGCTTCGATGTTAATCTAAAACGGAACGATAACAATATAGATGATCTAATATGAAACTCGTGCCAAACACTACAGTCTAGTTATTATGAAGTGAATGTTTTGAAAAATGTCAGTTATCTAAGCATAGTTGTGTGTACATTATGTCGATCCAGAATAAACCGCGATCTACAACTTTGTGTTATATATATTTTAATTTTTAACCCAACATATTATAATATAACACAAGTTTTCTTTTTCTTTTACTCTAACTGTATAATATACAATTCTTTAAACGATTTAAACAATGTTTTTAACATTGTACATATTTAATTGACATTCCATTTGTTATACAGCACAAACCATTATTTGATTTCAGTACTTCAAAAATAAATAATTAACAGCATTGTCAATACTTCATTTTAAACGAAATAGTAAATTATACATTAAACGAAAATGATAACTTCTTATCAGATCTTTTGTACGTCAGTCATTACTTATTCTAAAATAGTCGAAGAACTTATAAAATAAAAAAACACTAATAACACACCTTGTTTTTTTATTTAGTATTATAAGTTATTTTTAAAAAAATCACTATTATTATACATGTTTTACTATCCTGTAAATACATACATACAAACTAATACATACGCTTCAATATTAATATTAAATATGTATGTAATAAGAAAATACATTTATAGGCTTATTCTTATACTTACATCAGACCTAAACCCCCTAGAAATAATGACTACAGTTTAGAATTCCAAACACTTTAAAGTTGATATTTTTATTAATTATTATAATAAAATATTTATCTTGAAATTATTTTGTTTCAGGAATAAAGTTGAATAATTTTACATATTATATGTGCATAAATCAATATTTAGATAACTGACATGAAAAATTATATTTCCATCGCTCTTACCAATTTAGCATATATACAAATATATGAACAACACATAATCTATTATTAGATGTTTTCACAATGAGCATATTATAATTGTTTTTAGAGTTCGTAATATTAATATTCAAACACAACTTTTAAAATATTAAAAAAATTAATCTTTTTAGTCTTAAAAAAAATTATTGCATATTTTTCATACTATTTACGCTGTACACAATGAAAAAAAATAAGTTATTCTGTTAAGTTGAAGTTATTGTTTTTTAATTACTATGAGGTAACTAGCAATTATTCCAAGAATACAATATAATCTATACAGCGATTGTTAACAGCGATTGCTGGTGAATTGTTTTTATTTTATGTTTGTTAACTAATATACGTAGTCATATTACATAGATTAAGCCTAGACATTATATTTCTAAGTACAATTTATTCGAAATAATTATTATATCTTAATATCTATCAAATTTATTCTTTAATGTTAAACCAATACAAAAAAAAAAAATGTTAACTATGTTACCTATTGTATAGGTCACTTGAGTATACAAATATTATAAAATTTATTAAAATTATATTATGCATTGTACAAAATATATGAACCATGTAAATACACTTTTTGAAACAAACAATTGCGTTTTAAATTTTTTTATCGTAAGTTGGAAAAACTTTTACAACATTTTTTCCTCTTGGTAAGTTACTATATATTTTATATTACACAGAAAGTATTAAATTTAAACGTTCGACATGCTGCAATGTACGTTTAAAAACAAGTCTACTTTGAATTCAAATACGAACAAGATAAATAAAATATGTATACTTCAATACTGAGAATTAATGTTTAAATGTTAATTAATTATATACCTTTCTGGAGTAATTATTTTGGTTAGGTACGATAGAGCAGAAAAGACATAAAGATGGCAATATTTTTAGATTTAACAAAATACTTTGTTTGCAATAACTATTAAAACAGGTTTACAAGGAAAGTTTTACCTTTAATGAGATGCTAAGAAGGTACTTTTTTATTAGGTAAGCCGTATGTACTGGCATTTTGAACTAATAATTTAAAGTTATTGGCTTAACATCATAAATACTAAATGATGTTATATCAATTGAATGGTATCGAAATATTTCCATAGGTTTAAGTAAAGAAAACACTCTCTTAAGTTTAAACTATCTAATATTGTTTACATGAAAAAAATAGTCTTGTGGTTATTACATATTATATTTTTAACGATATGATCAGCTAGTGCCTTCATGCGTGTTCCATCGTAAAAGCTCGTATAGCAAGAATACCTTGCAAATGAATTTTAAGCGTGAGGTATTTTATTTTACCCCTATATTACAAAGTGGCTGGAAGGCGTGTTATGATCAGCATACGAGCATACACACTGAATAATATTATTTCGTCTTCGGTATAACTGCCTATCAGAAAGAGGAGCTGTTTCACCAGACGATACACTCGATGAATATAAAACAGCCAGCAGGGGCGGTGGATAATGTGCATAATTATGTTCGACATTTTCAAATGGAATAGCAATTCATGAACAATTGAGCTTCGGCAAACACTTAGTGAAATAAAAAACCTCCAATACCCGACAATTATTTAAAACTAGTTCCATTATTTCACCTCAAGTGCTTGTATCAACGTGTATTGCTGCCTGTATTTTTATTATACTACAAGGTGATTTTCTTTAAATCAAAAGTAATTATTTTGAAAAAGTACTGTGTTTAATCATATAAATTCGTAGATCGGTGTTTATGGAACTCATAAACTTAAAATAAATAATAAACCGAAATGACATGTAACAATAATCAATTTTCTTTGCTGAATTGTATTTAACATAAGTTCAATTATGAATCCATGGATTTTTTTTAAAAAGCTTCAAACCCAAGAACGACAATGCTATTAACAAAAAAGTCGCCATGATTTTTATGAGATCGTTCATATTTGTTGAATTAGTTAAAGACCAGCCTCTCAGAATTGCATTTGAAACTACTGTCCCTACTAAGCTCATAGGTAGGCTTTTAGTGATTCTCTGCATAACTTCGCTTTGAGCTTCAACTGGCCAGATGAGTCCTAAAAATACACGAGTATTAAAAGTATGATGTACAATATTGAAATTAACAAAAATAACAAAAAAAAACCAAATTTTGTTATACCACCCACAAACAGCTGTGATGACCCCATTGCAAGTGTCATTTGCATAACTTCCATGCCGTTTTTTGCTATGGCAGCAACGAACACACCTATGTAATAAAACAAAACAACGAAAGGGACTTAAAGTAGATAAGTGTATATTAATAATTTTCAATAATATCATATTAAATGATCAAAGCTTATGTTTATCTTCCTTATATTCTTCAGTGGAGTGTTTTTACATTAAAAAATTCGGGTTTTCTACACTTAAGGAAATACGCTTAATGAATTAAAACTAGCATGAGTACAAATTTCACTACTATTTCTCTTTTGTCTAAGCAGTATAAATATAATACGGCGGGGTTGAGGTCTTAAACGTAGTATAATTTATGAACTATTGGTAAGCTTCAATATTAAGTTTACCATTTGTTAAATGATTATAAACATTAAGTGATTATTACACAATAATTTTTCAGAATTGAATTATTACCATAAAAGAATCCAAGCCAAGCTCCTAGTGTAAGGCCAACAAATAAATCAAAAATGACATTTGTAGTCACCAACGGATATTGTAGAATGTAGAACGAAAGAAGCATTAATAAAGCAGCCAGAACAATGCATGCCAATGTATGCACTATTAAATACGAAGTGATAACTTCGAACATTGTAACTCCTGATATAAATCATAATAAAAAATGAAATTAAATAGTGAAATTATTTTTATACCTAAATATATTATATTAATAAAAAAATATTTATTAAATATTTGTCACCTGCTGTCAAAGCTCTATTAAGCAAGCCGTCCATTTTTTCCTCGAGCAAAAACCCCGCAGAACACACACTGGTATAGTAAAATACACTTCTAAAAATTATACCATTGACATATTAGTTTAAAAGTACACAAGTATAACAAATCAAACCAACGCTAACTTTTATATTGAGACTAAAATACGAAATCCAACGTTGGCTTATACTTACACAGAATTCAAAAAATGAACGTGTCAATATTCTTTGTACAGGTAAAAAGTTAAATTCATATTAGTAGTTTAAAAATTGAAATTGTATAGTTAAACGTAATTAAGAATAATGTATATTCCGTTTAAATGATTTAATATGCATTGTATTTAGTGAAAAAAGATAGAAAATGTCTTGTTGTGGAAATTGACTGCACAAAAAATTGTGAGTAACTATCTCTCATAAACACAATATAATTATTCCACGATATTTCTTGCAACAAAAAATTTGATTAAAAAATTAAATTTTGAGAACTAATAAAATTATGCATAATACTATGTGTTAAAAAAAATCTTAATATTAATTATTTAAAAAAAAAAAATTACCAATTAAGAAAATTTTAAATACCGGCATATTCATGTTGTATTTTTAATTATTCGTTACTTACATAGCAAAAACAACTCCTAAGGCGGTATGCTTTTGTGAAATAATGTTTGCTCCATACACGAATTTCAGGTCCTGTAATTAATTATGTAAATATGTATGACTTTTGAGATTAGGGGATATATAATACATAGATTTTAACCTCTTGACTGATCAAAAAGTTTTAATTTTTAACCGGTACGAGCCGTATTAAATTATTAAATTATTTCTAGTTTTGTTCTAAGTTCAGCGTTATCTGAATGAAAATATTATTAGGCATTTAAACAAAATAATTATACAAGTTGATCCTGATCCGAGTCTTAAGTAGGGTCAAATAATTGAATAATAAAAGAAAAAGAACGTTACAGCACAGACCCAATAGGTGATGAAAAATTACTACTATACATTACTTACCCAATTTGTGATATATTTCGTATCAAACGAGCATCGAGTTATTTCATTTTTTATTGCCTCCATTGATGCATTAATAATATGACTCTTGATTTGGTTTTTTAATAACACATCTGTAACATTTTTAGAAACATGTATGTTTGAAACTTCATGCAATTGTCTAAATGCATAAAAAAATACTCAAGCATATCGTTTTTTTAAATGTTTTTAAAGTCATACCAGCTGCTACTCTTATGTGTTTTACATGACGTAACATATGTATCTATCAAAGAAATACCTTATCTAAGAATATTCAGCAGAGTCGTTTAAGCCGACTAATTGGTAATAATTAATAAATGATAAATACATGGCAGTTATTGAAAGTCTGTGTAGAGTTTTTCGGAAAGTACCTACTTCATCAATTCGCTACATCACTGAACTCGTTAGTGAATTTAGTGATGCTTGTAAACGTTTTATGTTGAAGAGGACGTTATCCTCCTTAAAAAATAACCGGAAAAACGTGTTTATGTAAAAGCGTGCAAGTCAAAGAAAAATGATTATAGAAAAAAATATTTTTTATATCGTTAAATAGAGAAGAACTTTAACTATGTTCTCTTGGTAGTTTTTTTAGAAAACTTAAATTTTACCTTAAATACAAGCACAAATAAAAAAGGTATAAAAAATGTCAGAATTAAAATATAAATTGTGAAAGTTTGATAAACAATATAAAAAAAAAACCAAGAGAAAACCCACATTAAGTTTGCATTATTCTAAATTTGAAAAAAATGTTCTACGATTATTATTTAGTCAATAATAGAGAATATGCGTAGCCATGTTTAGATACAAACAAATCGTTGTCAAGGATGCTGTGATAGACCGAAAAATAATGTAACTACCAAAAAAAAAAGAGTCTTAATTACTGAACTAATAATTACACATCACAGCTTAACCTTTAAGTTAAGATTTTGTAAAAAAATTGCCTATACTTTACTCCTTCGAAATTGGTGGAGTGTCGTCCTCATAAATATTCTGTTTAGCCTGTACCGCTAAATTGAAGAGAGATGTAATGAATTAAAAACACAATATACGAATGGTTAGTTTATGTTAGACTCCGATTAAAGAGGCATTGAACTAGGTACACTGGCTAGCCAGATTATAAAATAAACGTAGACAATACAGTAAATATTTTACTCACTTGTATTATCAATATGCGAAAATAATAGAGAATTAACTGATATATCATTATCGCCATTGATAAATTGTTGAATTCCTTGTGTAAAATTATTTGGAAAACTTATAAATGCATATAATTTTGCCTTATCTACCGCTTTTAGAGCAGTTTCTTCATCATTGAACTGTATCTAAATTTATATGTTATAATATTTAACTCAATAGGAACGGTTTTTTTTTTACCTTTGAGTTGTTTCAATGTAGCTTTTAATTTTACTCACAAAATCGTAATCATACGAACGCAGGTGGTTAATCACACTGCAACTCAGTGCAGCGTTATAATTGTTGTTGTCAAAAATGCATCCACTGAATTTCATAGTTTTACAGCTAGAAATATCAATTTCCTTATTTTGCACTCCTAAAGTGATGTCTTTAAAATTATTACCAACGGTAAAGCTTATCAACAGGCATAAAGACATCGGCAACGCAAACATAAAAAAGAAAAATCTAAAACAATTGAAATAAAAATATATTTTATAACCGTTATCCTAAAGATCTAGAAAACAACCGTTACGTACACGAAATCTCTACTAATTGTAACACAGTGTTTCTTGAATAACGTCAATATTCTTTGTTTGGAAATTGAAACATCTTTATTTTGAATTATATCGAATAATGTTGTACTTCTCCTCTTGCGATCTAGGCTCGACGATGGTTCAATTACCTAAAAGCGTACACCGAATGATAAAACAAACAAACAAATTGTCATGAAAAACTTATTTATTAATACATTTTTTACCAATGGATTATAAGATTCTGTTGTAATTTGTAAAAATGCATCTTCTAGAGAATCAGTATTATAAAAAGATAGTATACTCTGAGGGGAACTTTCTTTTATTATCTTTCCTTGTCTCATAAAAGCTATCTAGAAACATAATATAGATAAAAATATTTACAAATTAATATTGTGTAATTATTATCATATTATATTGATTATTATCATAAGCTTAAGTATATAGTTCTAATCGTGACGGAACGATATTTTGTTAAAACGAGATGAAACTTTCGGATTTAAAAAAACCAATATGAACAAATATCTAAATGAAAATAATTGTTTTATTCGGTTTAGACTTATAAACCTTTAAACCTTATAAACCTTTTAAAAATCAAAATACGTACAATGTTTGCTTTATTAGCTTCTTGAATGTAGTGGGTGGTAATTATTATAGTTCTATTTTCTCTTTTTACTAAACTTGCCAGATAATCCCAAATACTAAATAATAAAAACAAGTTATTTTTCAATAGATTATAGCATTTTACACATTACTTCGATGATTATACAATTCTTTACTTGTAACATAAAATAGGATCGAGCCCTACTGTCGGTTCATCTAATATTAAAATCTTTGGATCGTGTAATAAACTAACTGCAAGAGACACTCTTCTACATTGTCCTCCACTGAAATAAAAATTAGCTATTCATGGTTAATGTCTAATCAATATAATAATTTTATATTATACAACTGTACAACAAAAGTTGGATTTTTTGTTTTTTGAAAAGAGGACTTCAATACAATATATTTTCAGATTTCTCTAGCAAATTTTAAGTAATTTTTAAATCCCATTTAAAATTGTAAAAAAAATGTTTTATAGTATTTTTAAAGCGTTCTGTACAATTATAAAATTTTTACACAAAAGAACGCGTTGTACAGCGTGGTTAAACATTTTAATTGCTTTAACTTACTTTTTACTATTTTATTTACCTTAGATCTTTAATAAGTGAATTAAAATAATTTATATCCAAGCTTTCACCCAGTTCAGTCATTTTTTGAATAATTTTTTCTTCGGTCATGGAATATAATGAACCATAATACATAAGTGTTTCACGTACCGTGAGATATTTACTTAAGCAAATTCCCTAGAGCATACGAAAATTACAAAATATCAAATTAAATGTTATAAGATATGATTAAAATATGTATTGTAAAATAAATATTGTATTTCATTACCTGAGGCATATATCCAATATCCATTTTAGATTCTATTTGAACATTTATAACACCTGAATTCAAAGTTTCTGTACCAATAATTAGATTTAATATTGTAGTTTTGCCACAACCACTTGGGCCTAGGAGACCATAACTGTTTGCAATTAAAAAATTTTATTAAATTTTAAAAATTTCACACATGTATTATTTTGAGTTCTTTTTTTTTTGTAGTTTCTTATATATTTCGTTTTAACAAAAATAAAAATTGTCATTCTATTTATAATTTCAAAAATGTACTATCTAAAATACATACATAGTTCCCATCGGTACATCCATGTAAAGGCCATTAAGTACATTTAAACCGTTACCATACGATTTAACCGCATTGATTATTCTTATTGCTGAACCATTTGATGAATATGTCGTCATTTCACTTAAATGCGTTTATGTTATTTCTCGTAGCTCAACTGTAATGTACTTACTAACATAAACTACATTTGGACACATGTGATCAAAGACTACACAAAACTAATAAATGCAATACATAATGTATATATTACCTGAACCGGTCGTTCGGTCGGACGAGTGAAACGGCGATAAACGGGTAAATGAAAATAAAAGTATACTATTTTAAAGCAAGGTCAATTCAAACCAAATTGAATTAAACAACAAAAAAAATGTATAAATGTAAATATTCATAACAAATTGTTTAGTTGTTTCTTTTTAAATTCAGTAGATATAGTATAATCAGTATAATATGTTGTATAATATTACTGTAGGAATATCCATAATTGAATTAATTTGCAAATTTTATTTAATGTACCTGAATTCTTTATGATTTTTGTAGATAGTTGAAAAAATTATAATATAAATTTAGTTAGATACATGTAGACTTACTGCATGACGTAGTACTTAATAATATAAGAATTTACAATAATTATTAGCGCAATGTTAAGTTTTATTAGAAAATTGCCAATACAATGCGCTTTAAAAAATGCTAGTGTGAGCCATGCAATCGTATGCAGGTGATACTTAGGTAAGTCAACTTCAAGTCTTCCAACCTCAACACCGGGAAAATCCGTAAAAAAATCTGACTGGTTTTTCAATAGTCAACTTTGATTTTGATAGCTTCGTGAAAAACGGTCGTATCGAGTCGAAATTTGTATACAACATTAACTAGGCATGCCTCTATCCACATTTTGTCACAAACTTAAATTGCGACAACCATCTGGTGCCCCCTGGTGGGTGGGAGGGCCTGAGAAGTAGAAGTCTTTTGTTTTTTAATTTTTTAAGCGCAACATATAAAACATGTAACATTTTTTTTTTAATAATGAAAAAACCCAAAATGTGACATGAAAACTATAAATGTGAATTTTGAAAACTATAAGGGTTAACAAAATTGAGATTTAGTAAATATTGTGTTACATAATCAAAAAATAAGTATATCAGAAAAAAAAAGCATTTTGACAAAATTTGAAAGCCCCTCTTAGCCTTCGATCATATATACCTAATATAGGGTTTCTCGTTTTAAAACTCATCATTATCAAGCTTCGTTGGGCCTTCAAAGCCCAACGCTGCCATCATGAGATGATGTTTTCTAGACGGATTCGCTGTTTTAAAATTATCATGAATAATTTGAATTTTTTTATTCGTAATTCTAAGGCGGACAACATAGGTCCCGGCCCAGTGGTCATATTTAAAGATGACACATGAAATTATAGATATACGTATACATTTTATTTATAATTGAAACGACAAACGAGTTACGATTATAGTACAATTAAACGGTTCCATTATCTAAAACAAGAGTGGCCTATTGGGCGTTGGTCCAACTGCCACCTGCCCAGTTCACCCCTGTTCCCGAATTTGCTTGCGGTACGGCCACGGTGGACTTTGTGACACTTTCTTGTTATTCAACGTGCCCGGCGCGCTTATCAGTGTGTATTTGTATTACAACACGGTATAGTGTCACCACAGAATAACCAGAAGAGACAGTCGACGAGAATACAGCCGGAAATTAAGCGTAAATGTAAATTCTTTCTGTAACTGATCTCGCAAAATTTCTCGGTTATCATTGTAAACAAATCTATAAAATTTGTCGACTCAGAGTCAACCCATCATTTGACGGATATTTAATGTCAATATTTAAGCCGATAGCGTTACGTACAACTGCCGAAGAACTAATTTTCGATTACCGCGGAAGAGAAAATCCAATACGGAAGTAGAGTACGCTAAGTCGAAACACACAACGTGTATTTTTATATATTGTTATCGCGAAAAAGGAAAAATGCGAAATTGAAGTAAACTTCAGCCGCTGTTGTTTTACCTCCCCCCCCCCTCCCCCGTGTTATTTTCGGCGAGATGGTGTTTATTATGGCTCTCTGGTTCTTAGACGGCAATAAGGAGGGTGGGGGGGGGGTTATGGCGGGTGGTAGGGGTGGCTTCTTAACGTGGTACAGAAGAAGGGCAGCGAGGTAGCGGGGAAGAGAGGATGTTGCCAACTTTTGATATAATAACAACGGACAGCGCGTGAACCGAGGGACTATAAAGATAATATCACCGCTGCCGGAGATCTTTTAGCCATAAATTTTACTTATACACCCGAGCTAGAAAGAGCGAGCGAGCAAGACAGCAAACTGGTGTGTGAGAGAAAAGCAACGAGAAATTCTACGCTACGCCGCGGTGTGGGAACAGGCTAAGGGCGGGGTCGTTTTTTTTTATCGTTAAGGCTTTTGCCGCCCCGAACCTGAGCTACGAAATAGGATTGACTTTGGGGTTTTTTTCGTCTTGCCGGTTATTACCGTTTTACGACAAATTTCCAAAACTCTACTTCCCGAACAAACGGTAAAAAACATAAACCGTACGGGGTGATTCGTTAAAAATAAGACACTCGATATCTCTTTAAAAAACCAAAAAAAAAATGTTGCAATTCTCTAATGTTTCTATTTGAAAACGTTTTCGTTCGTGTTATTCTACAATATCATTAAAATTACTTTAGATATTTATCTTTTTTATTTTTATTTTCTTCTAAAGCTCTATTAACATGCTTTTGAAACATAAATGGTAACGTATATATTATGTTTAATTACATTTTTAAATTTGTGTCATCTGGCCAGTAACCAGTTTTGAATAAATAGTTTTAAAGTTATTTCGAGTCTAAAATTCTGGATGGGAGAAAAGATGTATACCCATAACTTTAAAAGTAATTACCCGAAACTGGTTATCAACCTGTCAACTTTTTCAGTATATTATTCTTAACTTAAAAAGTTAATTTAATATACGTTACCAATTAAATTTTAATTGTTGATAGAGCTTTAGAAGAAAATAAAAAAGATGCAAATTTGGATATTGTCTAATATTGTAAAAACACTTGAAACTAAAGCGTCTCTAAAAGATACAGAGTTGCAATTATTGTAAGAAAAATCATTAGATATACCATTTCCCGGAAAATAATTGTAGGTACATTAATGCATAATATCTTTTTAGCTTCATAATACAACGTTAAAGAAAAAGTCAGAAAGGAGAGGAGACCAAGTGATGTTAATGTTTTCAACAAATGTTGAATTTTAAGTTTTTATTTATCATTTATAACTGTAACTTGTTTATATCATATATATTTTGCTAATTTTTGTATTATTATAATTATTCACATTAACGTCGTTAAGACGTGTTTTTAAAATTTTCTAACTACTACAACCAAACGTGTCATCTTTGATTATTTTACTCGGAAAATTATTCTGAGCACACAACTGTGTGTTTGAGGTTAAATTTAAATTCGGCGGGCTAAGTCAATCCGGGTGCGCACGGATCGTTTAACTCACACACCCCGACTTCTCTTCATCACCACTGTTGAGCCGTCAGCAACCCCTTTAAATTGGCATCGTCGGCAAGAGGGGTTAAGAATATTATCATGACGGTTTGTGCTCGTTAGTTGGCAAACCAACAGTGGCTGCTGCGATGCGTGTGTATGTGTACAATCATGATTTAGTTAGCCTAAATTTCGCTAGCCTACTGGGAAATGTATATGATAACGGGTTGATTGAGGAAAGCAAGATGCCGTGAGAAATACATTCACCAAATATATCAGAACTTTATTCAAATATCCACCAAAGTTGTATCAATATAATATGATTTTTTTTTCAAACACATCCTTATTATATTATACCTGTATAACGCTTATATAGATTGGTTAACTAGGAACCATTCAATAGCATAAAAAAAAATTGGAATTTTTTCCAATGATTCTTTTTCATACTTTTATAGTTACTAGTTAGCCTAAATTCGATACATTGTTCAACAATATAACCCAATCTCTTATGTGTTGAAGCCCTATAAACTTAATATTTTTAAATCATAACGTAAATATAACCTTAACTTTTTAAATTAAGAAAGATTTGCTGAACATTTTAACGGTCGATGACCAGTTTTGAATAATTACTTTTAAACTTTCATAATTTTATAAGTAATTATTATTAATAATTGTCGACCAGCTAAAACGTTCAGAAAAGTATTTTTTATTTTATAAATTAATGTGATATATATATACAGTAACTATTCACTATTAAGTATAAACAAAGTCATTTTAAGAAGTCTAATTTGTTCTGAGCTGCTGACTGGGTAACCAATAGTTAACCAATCACTCTGTGTAATATTATATTATATATGTATTATTATTATCATTATTATTATGCAACCTTGTTATACTACCTTGTTATATGATATTTCTGGAAAAAATATCGATGTACACATTGTGTATAGTTGTATAATAATATTATGCTCTTTGAGGCTATAAGGATAAGCTCGCATCTTGGCATTTTAGGACACGTAAATCTATAAAATATTTGGAAAAAGATAACATTCTAAATCCCAGTCATGTCAATAACGAAACTACAACAATAATATTGTATAATGAATACAGATGCACCTCATGTATAGTTAGATCGTGAAGGTGGTCAGTTCCAGAATGAATTAATTATATATTGGTGCTGTTTTATTCCAATGGTTAAAAACAAATTTAGAAACATAGATACTCGTTGAATTACAAACTACCTATTGAGTTAAAAATCTTGGCAAAATAACTTTAATTAAAAAAAAAAAATACAAATTAGATGGTTAACTATAACCTATTTTTACAAAAAAAAAAAAAGAATAATATGTACATAAAACAATATTTATGACCCGCAGACGGGAAAATGTTTAAATTAGTTTCAACCATATCATAACCACCACATTTGCAAAATGTCAGAAAATTTTTAAATATTTAATAAGTACTTATAATATTCTTTCTAGAGTTTTTTTTTAGAAATTATTACTGACGTGAATTATAACGTTATAAATTCAGATTAACATGACATGGCAACTGGGTAACTACCCAATTATATCTCAGCTTTAACTTAATGCCTACCTAGAATTTTTAAAAACTAATGCCAGGTTGCACCAAACTTGTCGTTAACTATTGGTTAATTTTTTATCACCGTAATGAACAAACTTTTGTTAAACTTTGT